GCGATCTCTTACGGTCGGTACGAAGACTAAGATAACGCGTGAGTGTGTGACATTAGTCGTTTATATCATTCTGAGTCGTTTGAGGTTTTTCTTTGACTGAAAATACCTCGGTAGTAGATTTCGTAATTTCTAGAATGCGGTCGGCAGATGCAGCTAGTTCGTCTAAGGCGTTGTTCTGGAACGAGACCAGAACTGCTTGCACCTGTTGGGGAAGTTTTGACAAGAAGAGTTGTTTGAATAGACCTTCGTCGAAAGTTCTTGGGCCTATCACCTCTCTCATCCGTTGCAACATGTCCGTCGCAGAACCGTGTTGCAGGTCGATGTTATTGAAGAGTTGATCTAACCTTTGTCGATCGGTTAGGTCTCCTCGTTTAAGAATCGAGCGTTTTAAGATTTCGTAAGGTTTGGAAACACCACTAGTAAACATACTAGGTGTTACGTACCTGTTGAATTCGCGCGGTAGTGCCTTGACTACTGCGAGAAATTGTGCACGTGTGTCGATCACGCCGTGCTCGTGGAAGTCGGCTTCTGCGTAGCAGAACCAGGCTTCGATGTTGTCGGGCCAGAAAGGCATCAGTTGAAACGAAGGCGGGGACAAAGTCTTAAGCTTGAGTACTTTAGGTGTCTGTTCAGTCATGATGGAGTATGAAGTACGATAACGAACGAGGGAAAAATATATATATATATCCAAGAAAAAACACGAAAAAAAATCACAATGTTTAAAAAAAAATAAAAAAATAAGGCAATGATATATAAAAATCCCAAAAAGGAACAGACTCACAGTTGGAATTAGGTGTACCAGATCACGTCAGTCTCACCAACGATGATGTCACAGGTATTCAGTGTTTGACAACGCTTCTACCAGTAACACCTTCTAATATATTTCGTTCCCGCCCAGAGAAATCAAAAGACAGAGTCGAGGAGATCGGAAGAGTATATTTGGCGATGACCAATATATCGGAATTCTCTGATCTAATCTGGCTAGCGATTGCGGTTGATGTTGAGCACGGCGTTACCACACGTGATCTGGTGCGGATGCCTGACCGAGCGCCTTCAGCTAGATGAGTCCACTAAAACATATGGTCAGCATCCAATGTCGTAAACTTAGTGCTATTTATTTTGGGGATTTACCGCTACAACCCCAAATAACAGTAGAACTAAACTCTTATTCAGGTACCCAATTTCGTCTGTAAATTACGATTAATCAACCAAATTGATGAGACTAAAATTCATGGATTAACCAATCAAGTATAAGATAACAGGTATTGTATATTGGCGCGAAATACACTCACTCACTTGGTTAAATAGAGTTTTGGAATTGTAGCTAATGTCAGTTCGTGATGAAAACCCCAAATCTAATTCATAACCTTACCCACCAACTGCAAATCATAATACTAATTCCCCACAATGATTTGCAATGCACATATAGTCCTAGTTATTAGGTGGATACTCTAAAGGACACTCTAGCGTCGCTCAAAGATTGTCCATCAATCATAGTTTCACCACAAAAATATTGATCTAATAGTAATTATAACAGTTACGAAACGAACCTTCAGTTTCTAGAACAAGCGCTTCCAAATATCAAACCAAAGACGTAGTGAAACTAAAATGTCAGGGGTCAAAGATCTAAATAAACACGTTCAGAAGTCGAGTAAAACAGATGCATTCAAAAACATGGCGAAATAACTGATATTAATTACAACAGTTTTTAGTCAATCAAATATCTTCTGTCCTTCGGTAACACTGCTGACTGCTGATTTATTGCTGTTTTCGCCACACCATCGATGAAGTATCGATGCTGCACAAAACAATCTGTGATTCTGAGGAATCCGAACACAACACCGGGAGTAAATGAATAAATGCTCAAGATATTTACATCAGTATTGATTCAACGTCCATAATCATAACTTATTAATATATATATATATATATATATATATATATAATTTCTACAAATGCACGTACATGCCATTTTTACAGGCATGACCTAAAAATCACAAATTTATTGTTCCACAGTATGCATGATAAATAAATATACTCTATAAAAATGGATAGCAGTTCATTCCTTCGGATATACTGAGTAGTTTTCAAAATATTCTCCAAAGTGGTATCGCGTCCACGTTACACACCAGATGCAATCTCGGCATAATTGCATTAGAATTCTGTTCGTGCCAAGTATTTATGCAATACTTTTTAAGTTTTTAGTTGTTATAAAGTAGACTTGTAGAGCACTTGGTGTGAACTATGACCTTGGGAAAACACGTGGACGCGATGCCACTTTGGAGAATATGTTGACGACTTTACTCAGGGTAAAGCCAAAGCGTAAACCTAAGCATTAACGCTTCAAGACATGTGTACGAATGTACTGTTTTTCACTTTTATTGATTTTATCTGTATAACTACCCTGTTAGATAAACATACTGAGAGCCAATAAATGTTGTAATTTGTAGACCATGTCTGTAGAAAATGGCTTGTACCTTTCCTGGCAGAAATATTATCACTATCTACATTGACGTATTCGAAAATTCACTCGCTTGATAGTAGGTGCTTTAGACAAATAATTGAGCGGTACTTTTAACCAATTTGTTGGAAACGCCTGGGAACCAATTGTGTTCTTATCAAAAATTTCTATTCAAGAAGAGACGAGATATGCTTCCTTCGGACAAGTACTTCTATCAATGCACACAACCACTAGGCAATTCTGACACACGTTAGAACCAGGGAATTCATAGTTTATACGAATCATAAACCATTAATTCATTAAATGATAGAGTCGATAGGCATTCTCTCGAAGAGGTCCGATACCTCGAATTTATGCCACAAACAGAACGTTTGCAATAAAACTAAAGTAATCAGTACGTATATTGAACACCCATACTACTATATTTTATGAGGTTATTTGGTGTAGCTGTAATATTTTCAGGTTACTTAGTAACATTATTCAAACTTACTTTTATTTGCTGACACCTCTGAATCGTTAAAGTGGGACATGTTCCGAACACTCTTTAGTTTTCAGACTCAAGAACGAAACTGCATTCTTTCCATCAGTTAATACCGAACTAACTCTATAGATAGTTATCCTCAGGGATTTTTTACGCCACCACAAAGCATTTTTACAAACTAACAGTCGCGCAATATAGTCGATACAAGCCGCGTAGCCAAAGACACAGTCAGTTAATAAATTTACGGACAATTATCTTCATAATTGATGTACTGTTTTTCCGCAGTTGCCTTCATCTAGCACAGTTAGTTTCTATATATTTTCTTATCAGTTCATGACTCAGTCGGTACCGTCAAACTTTATCAGTTCCATTAGTTTTTTTAAAGACAGCAACTTGTGTGAGGTAGTAGGAAAAACCTAAACTAAGACGAGTGATCTTCAGTACATTTTTAATAAGGAATCTCGAACAGTATAAGCTCTACGTGATCCTAGAAAAGTTCTTAAGTACTGTTTATGTCCCAGGTTAAGATTAACAATTTGAAATACGGAAGGATTATTTGTAGGACTATTAACAATAGGCTATCATTGAATAAGTGATAAGAACTCATTCATCTCAAGGTGGTGTTTAGAGACGGAAAATAGCGTACAAGCGGTAAAATCGTCCACACATTTGACACATGTGTTTTTGTGGAAGACGGAGGACCGTACACAGAAAAAGGGCAAGAACGGTTCTTTGTAGCGCTGCCATCAACATATATTATACTGCTCTCTTCCACAGAGGTGAAGATATAGACGAGTATCCAGCTGTCGGAGGCGACACTATTGTGCCTGCTTGATAGTGTTCATGAAATAAAGTCAAATTCAGACGTCTAGCCGTGAAATGTGCATTTAACGTATCTCTTACCTCTTTTCAAAATGAAGACAATACTGTCATACAAAATAATAGCAGCATCCAAGGTACGTGTTTTGCATTTGTGGAAAAATTGGTATTGATCAATATTCTCTTTTAATTCAAGTTGAGCATGAAGTGAGAAAAGTCGAAGTTACTGTTAAGGGTCTAAATTTAGCAATCGTACCATCTGATACTTTCTTTGGTAGTGAGATTACCTTCGTCTTTTTATACACTTCTGGTAAAAAATTAGTTAAAGAGGATCCGCTGAAGATCCCCATAAATAGATGAGACAAAAGCCAACACATTTCTCATCATGGATGCTTGGTCACTTTTCAGATCCTAAACACTGGAATGATTCGAGGGACTGGAGGCATTTTCTAGAATCAGTTCACCTTCGGACTCACGGATGCAGGAAGCATGATATCAAAAGATTGACATACAATAAACGTATTCAAAACATGAACATTCAGCTGGGCTTCTTCACTAATGAGTCCCCTACTTTCAGGCTCTTTAACTAGTTTTCGCATGTTAGAAGAGATTTTACGGGACAGACGCTTCTGAATAGACACGAAGTTCAGACGTTTAATTTCTTGGTTTATTAGACCATTCAGCTTTCGAAATTCAACGGAATTTTTCTACCCGTACATCACCTCTTCTCCCCCCCGACTACGAAACTGGTTTCAGTGGGACAACAAACAGAAAAGCAGAATTTAGGATAACAAATGACAGCATCGACCGTTTTTTCCAGTGAGTCGATTGTAAATAAACCACAGTTTGTTGTATGAAGCATGTTTTCAAACCTCGGATATTTTTCCTCTGAGTAATTCCTGTACAAGCAGTTCTAGGCTTGATGCGAGAGTATATTGTTTACTTTAGATAGAGCGTGAATATTATGATGACCAGAACTAAGCAATCTAAAACATTTACGAGTGATAATTGAGGTTCGAATCCGTCTTCCTAAGTTCGAAAGACATGGAATTTTCAACTGTGAGCATACGAGCTCATTTTTCTGGTTACCTCTCGAACAAGTTTCTTTACAGCTGCATTCATAATTTTAAGATTGAAGGCTGAAGCATATTTCGTTTGTGCTATTTGCGCTTCCAACAGCGCGCAGTCTAGATAGGTGCACAGTTTAAAATGCTGGCTCAATTGTCTGTTTTCTGAACGATGGATCTACGCTACTTTGCTATAACAAACGAGAAACATATCGTTTGGCATCGGTCGTTCTCAAAACGTAGCTTTGAAGACGTGGTACTTAAATATCTGTTATGTAATCCTCCAGATCAAGATATATACTATAGCGAAGGGGAGTAAGTGCTTCAGTCTTGATTTTATTTTCACTCTAGTTTCTCTCTTCACTGCCTGACCGTTTCAGGACTTTCCTTTATCGCGGTAACCGATCGAAATGCTTCTCGACAAAAATTTCGGAACTTGGTTGTAGAGGTTAGTCTGTTCACAAATGAACTTAGTTTTTATAATTTTTTTGCTCAATTAACATAATGGTATTTAACGATTTAATCTCGATAATAATATGTGATTGGTGTGTATGTGGAACTGCGCAAAACAGTCAGACTACCACACTTTATTGTCGTACACATTTAATCAAGGGGAACAATTTTTCTTGGGGGTTCAGATGTTCCATAATGTTTATATGAAACTAATCTCCAAACGCTGTAGATTGTGGAAGAATAGTGCGAACATCACCACAGATCAATGTCATGCTACTTGGAAGGCACTTTTACGCGTCGTTCATACGAGTCCGTTAAGAAATGTCACCAATCTTAATACGGTTGAATAAATTGTTGAATTATAGTAAGACCCAAAAGGTCCGAGGTTTGTTTTAACGAGGAATACTATTACATCCATGGTACAATTGAGGCTTTTGGGGTCCAAGTACCATGTGGATGTTCCAGTTTTCTGTATGTCACATGTAATTTCGCCCTTATAATACACGTCTAACGTTAAATTCACATTTATACACAGAAAATCTAAAATCCTACTAACAAGTCTGATGATAAAGTCTCTACTTTTGTGGCCGCAAATATCGGTTCTATTTGGTCTAATTCGAAACCAACTTATTCACTAGCTGGACTAGGTAGACTGATACTCGAATATGAAAAGTTGAGTAGCTCACTCGATGTGATTGAATCCAGTCCATAGAGTAGTGTGATATAAATTTCGGTTCTTCAAAGCCTCTAGTTTGAGAGAGCTCCCAACTTGAGATTGTGAATTAATATCATTCCCACTTTAAACGCTCGACTGATAATAATCGGTAATATTATTAGTTCTCAGTTTCCTGTCGATTTTGGAACCATGTTTGATAGATGTATTAGGTTTCCCTTCAGCTTCTCCCTTCAGTTACCGCATGTTTATCAAAAATCCCTAAAGCGAATTAACTACGTGATAATTATGAAGTCTAATTTTGTTTTTCAACACTTTAATTTTCAGGTTTCTCGCAATTTTCTAAGCGATGGTACAAGATTCCAAAGGGCTAAAAGTGGTGGTAAAGATTGTTTACAACAGTCTTATAATATAACCTTGGAAGATTTGATGGTAAGTTATATTGTATCATTTCTGATTGTAATCTTTTAAGAAGTAAGTTATGGTTGATGTATAATATACTGGAAGAATTGTATGTATTTTGACTGAACAACTCCCTAATATCTGGAAATGTTGGTCTGTGGCTTGTTTCACAAGTCTAAATAACTAAGACGTCTGAAAATTTCAGAGATAGTCAACTATCTTTAAGCTTTAAACGTTATTCTAAGATTTTTTTCTCGGTGTTTTGACATCACCTCAATTGGTTTAATCTGGTTTATGTGGTAAAGAATCGTAATTAGACTTTTAGTTGTTTAGTATCCTGAATCTATCGATTGTGATATAACTCTGGTACGAAAAATAATGATACAGGATTTGAAACTACCAGTCCACTACGACTTCCCGGTTAGAGTCTTGGTGATTGTGGAGAAGTTATCAGGTGTTACTCAGAGTCAGTGGCTATTCTGCTATAGTTCGTGAACTGAGGGGAATCGTTTTTGGCTAGATTTTTGACTAAACGTTTTCTCTGATTGAATACTGTTTTTAATATCTATGAATTGTGTGACTTCTCACTTCTTTTCCCCTATAATATTTTCAATTCCTTTGCATGGAATGCTTTTTGTGCTGAAAGCTATATCAAATATTCCCGACTACTTGTACTACTAACCCTGTTTCATTGATTTGTTTGTCTATCTGAAACACAATCAGATGGCACAGATTTTCTTTGGCCGCTTTGAAACCTCATAGTTTTTCAATCCCTATTATTTATCTTAAAAGAGAGTACATGACTGCATTTATACATCATCTGCTTTTAATTGCTGAATACCATATTTTTTACTTAATGACGTCGAATATGTGTCCACCGTTGTCCACATGCATTGATGTAAGCGAGGATATATTATGCCGTTTGACCGCTAATAGGTGTCTGTGCAGTCGAAGATAAAAGGGCGTCCACCTTGTCTGATGTAGTGTTTTTCGCGATTGGAACAGTTTGTTTTGTAGATGGTGTTTGGTTTTTCTTCTTTTGTCCCTTCGTCCTGTGGTTTGCATAGGGTTAGTTAAAGTGATTTTACTGGTTTATGTTCTCCACCTATTCCAAGCAGCTTCAATAACGTTTTAATCTCGGATATGTCCTTTATATATGGTAGGATTATCCGTTTACTGATTTCTGTATTTGATTTCGTTTCTGATAATAAGTTGGGTTAACATTTCTTGGTGAACTTGTGTGGGTAGCCGTTCTTTTGGTGGATGGTCACCAGATATTTTCCTTCATTTTTCCGTGCTGAAAGTGTGCTGCACTGTGTTCTCACCCTCTTGAATAAACTTTGTACGTAATTGATCTTCTGAGTTTTTGGGTTTTCACTGCTGTAGTTGAGAATTTGATCTGTGTGGGTTGGCTTCTCATATACTTGAGTCTCCAGTTTTCTTGTGTCGGTTCTGATAATCAGTACATCAAATAATGATGATTTGTTGTTCGACTCCTTTTCCATTGTGGATTTTATGTCATCGAAGACGATTTTGATCAGATTGTAGTTGTTTTCTATCACATCGCTTTTGATGATGACGAATACGTAGCCCACATAACGAACCCACATTTTGGTTTGATCACCGGTAAAATCGAGTCTTCTCGTCTCTGCATCACTGCTTCTGCAATAAGTTCTACTATTGATAACCCGATCTATGTACCTTTCGTTCGATTAGAAAAATGTTGAGATCTGGATAGAGAAAATACAAAGAACACCAAAGAATTTGTGAGAGGCTTGGCACTCGAGTCAGTCAGCAATCAACAAACTCATAGGAATCGATCTAATCCATCAACCAATTAAAAAAATAATGGACAAATCAGATCGAAGGAAGATACGCAGAATATGCAGAATAAGTAAAGACAAGTAAATGATGGTTACTACAGTTGCATTTCCCGCGACTTGAAGGCCAAGAACTAAGGTAGCAAAATAAATATGAAAACAAAAGGTAGATGAATCAGTGTCACCTCATCCAGAGGACTTGTTCCTTGAGAGCCGACTATTCCTAGGACATTCTAACCACTTCCATCCCTCTTTATGGTCCCATAATTTCATCCATCGGCATTCTACACCGAAGCTTAACATATCTTACCCGGCTGTCCTATAAAACACAAAATAAACTCCAAAAATACTTAACACTCAATTTTCAGTCCTTTTTCTATCAGCTTCCTCAAGTTTGTAGAACAGAGCACCTAGTCTGTATACTTTGTGCTTGACCGTTCAAATTAATTCTTCTTAACAGAACTCAATAATCGAGTGCAAATTCGTTTACTTAGTTTTAGGCCATATTTCGGGCGAAGGCTAATAACACTACCACCTAGTTATTTAAAGTGAAGTATGTAAAGAGAGGTTGAACCCTTCAACCTGTCGGTCTAAAGTTTAGAAATTTAGTCAACTAAACACTGCTTTGTCCATAGAAAAGTAGATTTCCTATTATCACCAGTCTAAGTACAGAAGCCTTGTGTAGTCGTGACATCTCTGATGAAACTGATTTCCAAAGGAAACGGATTCCCTTATTTTGTACTAGATAGTAAAATGTATTTTTGGTCACTTATTCGTATCATTCCCATGTCTGTTGATCCGTCTTTCTCTTTATCAAAGTTAATTTGGATTCTGTCTCCAATCTCCACTCTCCCCATTCTTGTTCAACTTTGTGGTCGACGTACTTTTAGAGATAACACTTTCCTCATCTAAATTTCCAGGGGTTGAACTTCTACCGGGAGGTTCACTTGTTGACTTAGAATATGCAGATGACATAGTTTTATTTGGTGAAGACGCTGACAAAATGCAGAGTCTTCTGACCACTCTAAGCAACAATGCAAGCATGTTCGGGATGCGATTCTCTCCCTCGAAATGCAAAATGTTGCTTCAGGATTGGGTTACATCGACACCCGAACTAGTGATAGGGAGTGAAGTAGTTGAGTGTGTCGACCGCTTCACTTATCTTGGAAGTCTTATCAGCCCTTGTGGTTTGGTGTGTGACGAAATCTCAGCACGGATACAAAAGGCTCGACTAGCTTTTGCCAACTTGCGTCATTTATGGTGTAGGCGAGATATCCGTCTATCAACCAAAGGACGTGTTTACTGCGCAGCAGTTCGTCCCGTCCTACTTTATGGCAGTGAAACATGGCCGGTAAGAGTAGAGGATATCCGTAGGTTACTAGTATTCGATCATAGGTGTCTTCGAAACATTGCTCGTATATCATGGGACCATCGAGTAAGTAACACAGTTGTTAGGAAACGGGTACTAGGTAAGGATGGCAAATCAATTGATGAAGTAGTGAAACTTCATCAGTTGAGATGGCTGGGACACGTGTTACGTATGCCCAACGACCGACTGCCTCGATGTGCTATGTTCAGTGGTATAGGAGTAGGTTGGAAGAAAGCTAGAGGCGGCCAGACCAAAACATGGCGCAAGTCCATGAAGTCACTGACAAGTGGACTGAGCCATGTTGGTAGGTGTAGACTACCTGGTTGGGATATGCGAGACGATAGCAACCGATGGTTAGGGACCCTGAATGACATGGCTCAAAATCGTTTGCAATGGCGCAGGTGCATCCACTCTCTGTGTTCTCCCAAATTCTAATCTTCTGAATTCTTCATGTCCCTTTTTTCCTCTTTCCAAATTTATTTCACTGGATTATACTCTTTAAATAACATCTCCAAACCCTAATCTTCCCGATTACTGCTTATACTCTTATTACCTCTACCACTACGTGATTTGAATCGACAACTGCATCTCTGTGCTAATGTGGTGTGGCAACTCGAACTGATGTACGTACGTACGAAGTCCTACGTTGTTACTGACTGACTGACTGAATTGCATTTATACTGCCAACCTTTTTAATTACAATAGTTATTTTAAATTAAACACTTACCTATTCTAGAGTAATGAAGTTTATGTCTGGCTATTACAACAGTTTCTTGAATATGATGCAAAAGTATTTCATAATAATGAATCTATATGTTCCAACTACTTTTGTAATTACCACATTTTAATAGTTTAACAGTAAATAGCTCTAACTGTGAAATTCATTTCATGTTTACCCGTATTGATATTATCGTTGCTCTTTCTAATTGACTATTGTGTGCAACATCATTTTTCCCATATTTACTGTATTTTTCAGGAATCACCCAACTCTTCTAAGGGAAATGATTCGTTGGACCAGTTACGTAATAATGTGAATACTGTAACAGCTGTAATGCAAGAGAATACTAGACTAGCGCTTCAACGAGGTGATCGGTTAAACAATTTGGTCAGTAAAACAGATGAACTTGCAGCCAGCGTGAGTGTTTGCAATTATATAATGTTTTGTATTATTTTCGGCTTTAATTTTGACTTATGCATTTATATTCAAACTATTATAATAATTAATTTTCTCTGAAAAATTGTTTCATACCATAAGTATTTGCTTGTGACATTCTGTCCATAGAAAAATTTATATCTCAGATGTGACCTGGACTTGACTTTAAAATCCAACAATATTCTTATTATTACTCGGGATACACTAATTCAAACAGTATTCAGCCGACCAACGTCTTATGAAGTTGTGACTTAATGGTCGAAGCATTTGTCTTTCGTACTATAGGTCAGAGTTTCACACTCCATTCCACTTAATTTGATCTGGGCACCCAAGTAGTATTATAGTGAACAGAACACCAGTGGGGACAGTCGGATGTATCTCAATAAAATCTGAGAACCGTATAGTAAATCGTTAGTTTGCGATATACCAATCCATCATCTCAAACTTGACTGTTCCTGTTGCAAACATCAATCCATTGTCTCAGATTTCATTGTTCATGCGTTTTCATACCAATTGCATTCCGTTCCCGTTATTTCCTCATCGACCTACTGAAATACATTCTATGCCTGATCACCGTTATATACCACTTGTGTGGATATAAGTAACCCACACCACAGTATTACTTGCCTACACACAAATAGCTTGGTTCACGGCTAATTACCTAAATAAAGTGCAAAAGGTGTATAGTTCATTCAGTCACTGTTCTACATTGAATCCCGATTTGTGATCACCTTTAACGATCTTGTTAACATCAAGATGACTTGCCGTTTTCGCACTCTATTTGTGTTAGCACTACTGGGAAGATGTTTATCAAATGACTTGCGTTTTTGTTTGAGGAATTGCTACTAAGCATACTAAGATATTGATTTCGTGTTAGCAATGTATCTCAGTAGACTAATTGTCATAAATCCGATCATGTTTAGTAAGTGATCAGCACCAGAGTTTACTCTAATTTTGTCGTCACTATTTAAAGAAGAAAGGCTGGTAAAACTTACTATGCTGGGGATCTTAGGTGACTTATTATCCAATCAGAAAAGTGTTTACTAATAAAATAACTAACAATAAGAAGTCATAAATAAAATTATTGTAGATAAATAGTTCTAACATGATCAATGAACCTTTATGTGTTAAATTATTATAGTAAACGAAGAATGATAAGGGTTATGTATTAGGAGTTTGGGCTAGGGTTATGAGGTTTTTACTCGCAAACTGATACAGCTATGATGCGAGTGCTTTATACCAATATGGATGATTGGATTTCGCGCAAATATTCAAGAGGTGCTATCTAATGCCTAACTACTTCGTCCATAAATTATGGTATCATCCTATTGTTTAGAGAGAGGTTTAGGAGTTGGAGTGAGAAAATACTTTGCGATCATATAAACGCTCTTGACTATATCCAAAATCACATCATTTAGATGCAATCTTCATTAGCGGCGGGTATTTCTCTGAGTTAAGTTTACATACTCTGTCACATCTATTATGTGGTTGCATAAGAATACTTTTTCCATCGATTTTAAATATTTTGGGAACTAGATATCGGTAGGGTTTGCTTAGTTCGATTTTTGCGCAGAAATCGGATATGGGTTATCATAAGTCTCGATCTATTCAAGGTCGTCAGTATAGTTCAGTTTTACCAAGACGTTGACTCACTAGGTTGTTGGCTGAAAGGTATTCCTATTCAATATGTTAAACCAACTTTGATTTTATATCTTATCCTGTTGTATCAGTTAACATTTTAAATAGCCGTTAGATTGTTTTCAAGATACAAAATGAAAAGCAAATACCAAAACTAGTATAGCTGAAGCTTACAAGTCCTCTTAAGGAGAATAAGTAAATTAAATAATATTTTGAAGAGTCGCTAAGTTAGTGTCTTTAAATTTAAAATCACGTACCAACTTATGTAGAATCATGAAATGAACTAAGAATGTCTGGATAATGATACTTCGTTTTAAAGAGAAATACATATATATAATGTAAGGGTTTTTATGCAACTTTTTTTGTGTTGTATTTCGACTTTTTAGAGTTATAAATTACATGACATATTACTCGCTTTCGTAATGTCGAGTCGTTTAGTCACCTAAAATTTAAACTTATCGATAGTTATTAACCTTTATTTATTAAAGCTGTATCTGTATTTTCAATATGTTTTTATGTACTTTACTTAAATGAAATATTGGATCATAAACAGTTTATTTATTCAATTTGAACAATATCAGATAAGGAAGTTGAATATTTTATAGATGTCAGACAATCAATCGTATTTTCACATGTAAAATTGCCTTCAAAAGTTTTGCTATCATAATTCAGGTTATTAAGTTTATTAAAAGTTAGTTCTATAAATTTCTGTATTCTGTCATTCTTATTAATCATCGGTTGGCTTTTGGTTTTCGTGTAGTTTCATCCTTTGAGTCGGATAAGTGAACCTTGAAGCATTCGTTGTTCTTCTAAACAACATCATCAACATAAACTTCAGGTAGTTTATGTCGGAAATGTTGTCCAGGAGAACTACGAAAACTTCATGGTACAGTCATTTAATTCAGAAAACGAAATTTCACCTGATCTACAAATCTTCTCTCCCATTTTTATACGTCAATTATCCTTCTGTAATCCAGCTAATGAATTTATCTCAATATATATTCAATGCTTGCACTTTTATTTCATTTTTGACTCAAGTTAACTATTATCTGTACAAAAATGTAGGTTGTAACATTTACTTCCTAACTTAATGCTTGTAAATGTATAAACAAAAAAGCAATACTTGCAGATATTAATTTACTTTGTTTATTGTTTTTCTCCTCGATCGATTACTTCCTCTCTCACACATACACACTATGTCTTTCTGCTAGTATACAACCTTTTTCTCTTCGCATTGTAAGTTGTTCTGTCAAGGCAACGCATTTTGTTTTCCTTCGCAACCGATTTCTTCTGAAATTTACTACAGGGTCGTATGTCACGGCTATTGTTCTTTACATTCATTTATATGTAGATTTCTCTTCTTTTGCTCATAATAATATAGAAATTTGTTGTATCTTGTGTATTCTAGTTTTGCTTTTATCGTTCTCCTTTGAGGGCATAATTTATTTAAGGGAAAATTATTATAGATAAGGCAATGTTCGCTTTTATATTGAATACTATGCTTTTTGTATTAGAGCTGTTCAATTAGTCGAGGATTCGACAGTTCTGTGAATTGTGAGGAAAATAGTACTTGAACATTGTGTTAGTGTAACTGCTTCATAGAAAAAGGCGAACCGTAATCCACTCTCATTCCACAAAACACAACGTAACAGTCCAACTGGTCTTGAACTACTCTTCAGTTACCCACTATTTCCAGACAACCTCAATAGAAAATTGACATGTCTTACAACTATTACCAAAGTTGATAAGGCCATGTTCAACTCGAAGAAAAGACTAATGGTTTATTTTTATATTTTCTTATGTATAAACTCACAAAAATTATTCAAAATCGTTTTTCTTCAGGCTAATCAATTCCAAACAACTGCTACAAAAGTGGCCCGAAAAACTTGGTGGGAAAATTTTCGTATGAAATTAATTATTGTTGGCGTTGTCGGTGGCATACTTCTGGTAATTGTGATAATTATACTCTGGCAGACTGGAGTGTTCAATAGCAAATCGCAACACCAGTAATAATAGCAACAGTAAATAATTCACTTCATATTGTTTATTACATGGAACAGAAAATGCAAAGAAACACCCATATTAAAATTAGGTGAGATATTCGATGTGTTTTTTTTACAGGATCAATTTATACAACACTTATTCCATTCAAACGTCTTGTTAAAATTTCCATTTTCTTTACTGCGACATGTTTTCCTTTTTGTCCCTCGTGACAGATAAATTTTACAAATGATGACAATGATTGTTATCCCACAGTATATTGTAATTTTTATGTTATACTATAAATATACATACTTGAGTCTTTTTTTTTGTAATCACTATCCCTACTACTAATCCTACATTAACTACTTCTCGCTGATGTAATGTCTTTTCTATATAGGCGCAGAGATTTAATAACAATTATATATATATATATATATATATATATATATGTATATATATATATATATATAGTGTTCGGAATGATTTTTTCACTCAACATCTATCTCCTTTGTATGGATGACTATCTTTCCGATGTATATTGATTATTCATTCTTTATTGATTCCAATACACATTTTCTTTACCTTCAATAACAATGACTTTTTGAAAGCTGATGATTATAAATAAATGAAAGATAAAAGAGGTACAAACTGTTTGATAACTTTTTGTTGGAATTACACTTCGTGAACGTATGTATTTGTGTTTATGCGTGCGTGCGTTCATGTATGTTCAAGTGACTTCATAATAATACCATCATTATTCATTTTCATCATTATTTCCGTGCCCTATCCTTTTTACTTCTTCTCTACAGATAATCTAAAGTATACTCATTTCTGTACTATTTCTTCTTGCGATTGTTATTATTATTATTAACATTATGAAAAAAATGTGTATTTGGAATTTCTTCTCTGGAAGAATTCCTTCTTATTATTGATTTATACTTATCATGGTTTTACTTTTTACCAGATTTAAATTAATATGTTTGCTCAATATACATAAATTTTCTTTTCCTTTTTTTTAAAAAAGAAAAATCATATTTGTCGTGTAATGAATATCAACAAAATTGAATTCTAAATTTGTTTTGGATTTCTATAAAATTAATGGAATGATTGTAATGTTGAATCTGTGTAAACGCATAAATTTAACAGACTGGTTCAGGTGTGTGTTGTATTTGTTTTGGTTACTATAGTGTTGACATATCAACGAAGTAAAACATGGGTGTTTACCAAAGTGATTTTTCATTTTGATTCATTTAAGTTTTGGATTTTGTTTAAGACCCGTTACTTCCATTTAGTTGTGCATTCGAAACCATCTCCATATTATGATGCTTGGACGTACGAACTGTAGTACTATTAGGGCATTCGTTATGTTTGGCTGAAAATGTAATATGCGAACATTTATGCAGTTCCTGAGATTAGAATTATTTATTAATAAAAAAGTATTCCTATAAATAGGAGTAAACTACAACCCTTAAAAAACCGATGAATTTGTAGACATTTTATAAATGTTTTAAAAACAAAACTCATATGGTTAATGAGGTTGAACAGAAATTCCCTACTAATTTTATTATCTATACAAATATAATGTCAGTAATGATGTTACAGATCACTATTTTGTCAGATAGTTTTTGCAAAGAAGAATATAAAGTTACTTATGATGTGCACAATTATGTGATGCGAAATATTCTATCTCAATTATTGTTGTAACTGTATCTCTTTTCCTGAGAATAAAAAAATTTCATGTGTTAATTGACGACTGTTTTTGAATAAAGATGATGGGAAATATTTCTTTCAGATCCATACACAGCTCATCGTCGCCATCAACTGTTAATATCTTTTTCTGTTATACTCCTGTCTTTCTCTTTGTTTCATATAAACATTGTTCGTGGATCTTAGTTTAGATTACACGATCTGTATGAGTTGCGTAATTGTTTAATGTACATATTGCTTTTAAGCAATTCGTTTCTGTGGTTATTTTATTGTTTCAATGTAAATTTCAAACAGCAAATGTATATATGGCTTCCACAGCATGCCATTTAACTATTTATTTCACCATCATTCTACCTTAAAATTGAGAGTAGCATCATTAGTCGCAAGTAATATCGGGCATCAAAGTCACGTTAATATTTGTTATTAATTTGTGGCTTCGCTAATTTATCGTCTTTATAATATGATCTGATAATGCTTACTGAATAATTTCCAGTTTATATAGATTAAATAACTGAAAATTGTATGTACTCACTAAAGTGTGTCAAATCAATGAGTTTCGTGAGTGTAATGCTGGGTACTTTTTTTCTATGTTAACATTTTTACTTATCACTATCACTATAAATAGACCAAGTAATTTACTGATCATTCATTAATAAGGTTGCAGAGGGTAATATTAAGTTTGCCAAGTATTAACACAATAGATTCTGATTGATTGTTACTGTTTAAGAAAATAACATCTAGTTTTCTTAATTGTTATTGATGATACCTGTATAATCGGCTTCTGTCTCCACAGTACATAAGCTAAATAATGAAATATTTTATATGAATTTTGATTGTATCGGTCTAAGTAATATAGTTCATATTACATATAGGATTGCATCATCATACCATAGATTTCTTAGATGGTAAATATCTAACATAAATAAAAATAATTTTAACAATGAAACAGGTACAACTGTCAGATTTTTCGTTATAAACTAACAAAGATTTATATTTCTTTAATATTTCTATCTATTTTAACATTACTCAGTATACTATAAGGCTAGTTTAGAATTAATTTCTCTTTTTCTCTAACATTCTTATTAATATAGAAGAATGATTGATTATTATAGTAGTACACATTGACATTAGTCGACTCTTATTGTAATAAGTTTTCTATCTTTTATTTCTCTACAACAAAAAAAATCACTGATAAATTTTACACGTAGAAGTTCATTTCTGATTTGTATCTTCTCATAAATTACATTTTCTAATTGATTAGTGACATATATACAAGTAGTCCTTATTATTTACATAATATTTTATTATCTTTATAAGTCCATTGTTTACGTGAAATACAATCATCAAATCGATTTTTGTTTCGTTTGATAGACATTTAAGTTGGAGTACATAATAATAATCTCCGATCAAATATACCTTAATTTAGTACAGAATTTGTACTAATCATCTGATTAGATAATGAATAAATAATTTTGTTGGCGATCAGCTGAAAAATTTATATTATCAAAATTTCTTGTAAGAATGTATGATTTCTGAATATAAATAATAACAATATTGATGAAATATGGTTTCACTATATCACGAATAAACTAAAGTTGGGTATGTTAGTTATTGAATTGTGGTTTATTGAATAGCTTGATTACACTGCTACCTTGAAGTGAGCTTGCATCTTGTGATAACTCAGTTGACTTACACTAACCATAACCTTCTTTCATGTACTCCCTACTATGTTATGCAGGCGGATTAGGAGAAAGGTAAGATTAGAAGAAACAAATTTATGTTCGAAGGCGAAGTCATACTGCAAACTATACAGAGTGTGACTACAGTAAGTTCTTTCCACTAAACAACCAGCATCTGTAACGATCCCGCCTTTCTACAACAGAATGATTGGGTTTGAAATGTTCAGCTGTAACAATAATACATTTCAACTTGTGACACGGATATCTTTCACCAGTAGTAAGGTTTAAAAAGCACGGAGCTAATGCACCAAAACTACTCGCAAAAAGGTCGTATATAACAGGTCTCAAACGATGTCTACTTGTGCTCTGCAGTCACGCCCTTAGGTTAATTAAACCTCTACTAATCCTGTGTTTTCTCAAGAGATTTTCTTCCACAGTGTAGAGGACCATGAAGTGACAACGAATCTCATACTTTTTCCAACACTTGAGGTCACTGTGTTCATATTCTCCGACCTTTTCTTCACTTCCAACCAAATAACAATTTGCTCGTTGCAGATCATATCAACCTGGTTGTTTGATACCCTTCATTTTTGATGAATCTTTATTCAATGTCGATTCTTGGTGAGAACTATTGTAGAATAAAGTACAATTCTTACAAACAGCTTAATTCAATAAAAAGAGAACAAACAGTTTTTGAATTTCAATCAAACTATTTATTAAGATAATCTGATTAATAAATTAGTTTGTTTACTTATTTCACCTAATTCTGGAAGAAATCGATTAGTTATGGAAAATTTGTTAATACTGAAGGTGTACGCAGTAAAATCTGATCAGATATATGGTTTAAGTTCTACACAGTAGTGGGACACAATGTTTGATAAATTAGTGAGAAATCAGTAACAAAGGGTTGTTGGCATTTGTTTGATCCGTTTTTGTTTCTTAAATTTCCTGAACATGTCTCCGTAATATCAATATTTAGTTGATTATATCTTAAATTCAAATACCACATACTCACGATTTGTTAGCTGGATGTACATACATCCCAGTGTTTATATTCCTGTTAAAACTAAAGGCCTGGAGCTATCACTTCAAATATTAGAGGATTATTTTAATAGAACTGAACGTCTAACATGGATTAAACTGTTGCCGATTTTCCAAATTATAATCACTTGGTAAATCCGTAAAACACCTAGGTATACTTTTAAGGAACCCGTATAACAACGACTGGTTAAATTCAGTCATGAATATTAATTAGAAAATATTTCTGATCATTACAGCTGACCCCATACCTTTTGAAGAGGTGAGAGCTATTGTGACTCAGTAGTTTAGAGGATGATTTTCTAACTGGTGAAGAGATAAAGTGATTCGTTAAACTTTCAATAAAAACAACACTGGTGCACATACATCCACCCACTGGTCTCCGAATAGGTTGAAAAAATTATTCTCGATCCTACTGCTCCCTACTATATAATATAAACGACTATAATTAAAGTCATT